GGGCGGGGCCCCAGACGTCCAAGTGGAGAGTATGGAAGGGTGTAGTGGCCGGACGAAGGGAGGAGGAGTGAGGAGTGGCGCGCAGCCGACTCTCGATGCGAGGAGTGCACGACGACGCAGGCGACGGAGGGAGCGACTCAAAGACGCGCGGGAGACCTGAGCAAGATACTGGCTAGCCATGCTGCTGAGGCGTGGGAGGGACGGGTGACCAAGACGGTGGTGCCACAGGACTGTCGGGTGCGAGAAGGACCGACAGGAGCACGACGCAACAACTTGACCAGTCGCAGCTACCTGGGGGTTCGCAGTGTGCAGAACTAAGAGACCTGAGTGGGGCTCCCTGGTGAGCGTGGCAAGAAGCGCCCCGGTGGAAGCGACCGTACAGATCGCAGTCCTCCCGTGCACAAGAAAGGTGACTGTGATCACACGATTCTGAAGGTATCCAACACCCACCAATTTCCGAGAGAACGAGGGGATGTGGGGACCAGAGAGGACACCAAAGGGGACAGCCGAGCACTGGAGGGTGGTAGAGCTGCAAGCAATGAGGTCCTGAAGTAGGATCAGCCAGTGTAACCGGAACCGGAGCAGTAAGCAGAGTGAGAGTCGCGTGGTCATGGAAGAAGCACTGAGACGCGCCAGAGTCCAGCGTGAAAGCGAGGTCCCACAAAGCAAGTCCACGAGAATAAGACTGGTCAGTGAAGCCTCTGGCCGTGAGACACAAGGCCAGAGGTTCAGCTGGTGGGCGACGTAGCGAACCGCGTCGGGCCACATAAAATTGTGCGCACGGGCACGAATTATGGAGGTGCGGACGATCTCCATGACCAAGCCTATTCTGCTGTGGGGACTTCGGAAGCGTCCAAGACTGTGTGATGCCCTCCTCGCTACAGAATCCGCGAAGAATGCCGGAGCAAAACTCAACCCCACGGTTGTAGTGAAGACAAACGACACGACTGCGCGGTCTAGTGCGGCGGGGAGCGGTCAGGCACGGTTCAGTGCGGTGGAGTGCGGTCAGGAGCGGTGGAATGCGGTGGAGTGCAGTGAAGTGCGGTCAGGCACGTGCAGCTGTACGTACGGCTCCTAGTGCGTGGGCAGCTGCGCGTGGGGCTGCTGCTGTAGCTACACGTGCGACCGCAGAGGCGCTCGCCGATGCAGTGGCGTATGCTGCATGCTTCGTGCGCGGACGGCCGTTGCTGCGCAGGCTGCTGCTGATGCATGAGCGGTGGTTGTTGCGCGGGCGGTTACTGCAGTGCAAGCGGCTGCTGCTTCGCGAGCGGCGGCTGCTGCGTGGGCTAATGCTGTTGCGCGAGCTGCGGCGGTTGCGCGGGCGGCTGCGAGTGCTGATGCTGCTGTGCGCGCGTGGTGGGCGTGCGTGCGGACGGCAGTTGTAGCGCGTGGCTACTGTTCATGTTGTTGGCGCGCGTACAGCTGCATGCGCGTGCGCTGCTGCGTAGGCGCGGCTGCGCGAGCGTGCAACTGTGCGTGCTAGTGGGTCGCGCGTGCAAGTGGCGCGGGCGGGTTGCGCGTAGGGATCGCGCGGGCGGGCTGCGTGCGAGGGTACGTGACGAGGTGGGCCGTGGACATGTGAGGGGCATGACGGGTACAGGGCAGGCTAGGGGCGGGGCCGGCGAATGGGCAGGGCGCGGCCTACTAACGGGACGGGGCGCGACGTGCTAAGGGGCGGGGCGTAGCCTAGTAAAGGGCGGGGCGGGTCGTTTCTAGGCTAGGAACTAACCTATTCGTGATACCATCTCATAAACGAAGGAGATTAGGAGGTAAGAGAGAATGATGGTGATTTAGGTGAAAGGGGGGGGTATAGCAAAGTGTCGAGAGATTTTATGTACCCCCTAACATGCATCTCACTACAGCCTATCTAGTAATACAAATATAGTTTGACACCATTATACCAGTCAAGAGATTGGTTGGATCCGTATTTAGCTGCTTGCGATAATTTATGCTGCCCCCTCTGAGGGCTGAGAGTTGTTTCCATAAAGTAGACTTACGGCAATCAGTGCTCCGAGTGCGAGCAGCAAATCTAGAAGCACTCTGCTGGTGATGGTAACAATTGGTTGCATGCAAGTGATGATCATCATACCTGCTGACAATTAAGACTTATGGTACAAGTGAGTCACCATGGCGAGGGAGACACACCACGTGGGGAATGCAGCGAGCCAAAGGCAACAGGAGGAACTGACGAGATTCTTTACTAATCTACAGACACTAGCGCAGTATGTTCGCAAATACCGTAGGATAAGGTGCCAGAGAATGGACCTTGAGGCTAACTTCTCAGTTGTGAGCAAATATGTGAGTTGCTGAGAAAACGAACAGGGTTTTTTTCGCCAATCCCTCCCCCCCAACCATGGGTAAGCGGGACGATGAAGTTATGCAAAACTCAAAGAGCAAGTGTCTTTCAGGAAAATATGATGATTACAGAATGTCTGTTACACAAATTCACTGAAAACGTGAAACTACTAACTCTTGTGCCTGTATAACCATTTGTTGACTGAAAAGTGCATGACTTACCATGCTTTTACCATTATTATTTTACAGGTGCTGTATGTACGTTTACCGATTCACGCAATGTCGGCAAGAACTGTTTCTCAATCTGCTTTTCGCAGCGCACATTTGAACAATTATTTGTGGCAGCGAACCGCGAGGCTTGTGTTCCTGTGTATCTGAGAGAACGTGAATCTGTGTGAACCCCCAATAATGGTGTGCCATGACATGCCAACCTCACGCCAGCCTTCCTCATCGACTCCAACACCAATCCATCAAATTTATAAAGCAGCCACTGGTTACTAGACGAATGATCACCAATCAGCATTCTTTAGCATCTGCCTGCGGAATTACCCATTACACAGTGAAGTGCATCGCCTCCTCACTTCTGCGACTTGAAGCCAAGTGCATCGTCTCCTGATAGCTGTCAGCTGCTGATGCCGTGAGTAAAGATTTCTGCTGTTTAGATCGCGAAACGTTCCCTGTACTTGATTTTGCGCCGCTTTTATAGGGTCGCCTTTTGTTCCGTACACCCGCTCTGGATCGATCGCTATGAAGACGAGGCAACGCTGCGCCGCATTACCCGCGTCTCCCACGCTACTACTCGCGATCCTGATAGCGGTCGTTCTAATCATCGACTGCCATGTGGAATCTGCACGAATTGGGCGGCAACGGACGAACTCCAGACGTCCCCTTCGCACGAGTACGGACTTTCTCTCACCCTGATGCAAGTATCCCACTTTCTTGTACCGCTCTTCATCGCGGAGATGATATTCTCGAAGCTTACTCATTCTCTTCCTTCCCCCGCTCGTAGTGACACATTCATCGTGTTACCTGCTCGGTATAAACCAATATTATAATCTTCTCCGTCCTACTTCTCCCTCTCTTCCCACTCTTTCGCCCAGAGAACGCTCGAATTCCCTCCCGCCGTCTCGGAAGCGACATTTCCAACGGCACTGATACAGGCGGAAGCGGCAGTGATTCTGGCACTGATGTCGCTGTCGGTGTCGGTGTCGGTGACGGCGGCGGTGACGCTGGGAGCAGCAACGACACTAGCGGTGATGGAGGGGGATCCAATGAAATCGATTCTAACTATACGGGCGGATCGAATGACACTGATTCTGGCGGTGACATTAACGGAGGCGATTGGGCCGGAAATAATGACACTGATTCTGGCGGTGACATTAACGGAGGTGATTGGACCGGAACTAACAACACTGATTCTGGCGAGGACATTAGCGGAGGAGAATGGACCGGAAATAACAACACTGATTCTGGCGGTGACATTAACGGAGGTGATTGTACCGGAAGTAACAACACTGATTCTGGCGGGGACATCAACAGAGGCGATTGGGCCGGAAATAACAACACTGATTCTGGCGGGGACATCAACGGAGGCGATTGGGCCGGAAATAACAACACTGATTCTGGCGGGGACATCAACGGAGGCGATTGGGCCGGAAATAACAACACTGATTCTGGCGGGGACATCAACGGAGGCGATTGGGCCGGAAATAACAACACTGATTCTGGCGGGGACATTGACGGAGGCGATTGGGCCGGAAATAACAACACTGATTCTGGCGGGGACATCAACGGAGGCGATTGGGCTGGAAATAACAACACTGATTCTGGCGGGGACATCAACGGAGGCGATTGGGCCGGAAATAACAACACTGATTCTGGAGGGGACATCAACGGAGGCGATTGGGCCAGAAATAACAACACTGATTCTGGCGGGGACATCAACGGAGGCGATTGGGCCGGAAATAACAACACTGATTCTGGCGGGGACATCAACGGAGGCGATTGGGCCGGAAATAACAACACTGATTCTGGCGGGGACATCAACGGAGGCGATTGGGCCGGAAATAACAACACTGATTCTGGCGGGGACATCAACGGAGGCGATTGGGCCGGAAATAACAACACTGATTCTGGAGGTGACTCTAACCAAAATGGTGGAGCAGGGGGCAGCGGCGATGGTGGTTACCCTGGCGGTGGCGACGTGTCACCTCCTGGTCCTCCCATGGCAGGTACTACTGCTACCGATAGTGGTGAGAGAGCACACATCAAAGCCGAATGCTGCTATTCTGAGACCACCGTCCACAACCCAGCTTTGTCGCAGTCCCAACTTCTCCCACTTCCGCGCCTGCTTGGTATCGGCGGTGTATGCAGCTTTCAGCGGGTCTTCCTCTGCGCCACTGGGCTCCTCTTGTTCCGCACTTGCAATCTCTGAAGCACCCACATGCGTTCTGTTCTGACCGTCACTTGGCAACCTATCTTTGTGTTTGTCTTCTGACCCTCATATCCAAATGTTTCAAGTTCACCTCCCCTTCAGAACCACCTCTTTCATCCGACCTGCTGGATTGCCTCACCTCACCTGATACCAACCTCTCATTCCCCCATGTCGCCCCCCTGTTTGACTCGGATACAATCACGCATCCACATCGCCAGGCGACAAAGCCCTGGGTCTCGCCTCTCCTCAGAAGACGAATGTGCTTCTATCGATGCCAGATTTCAACCCTGTTTCCCGCTACGCCACATCTCAGGTACTCCCCTCTAGCCTTTCCCCTCCTCCATGCTCACTCTCACATCTCCCCCCTCCACGTGTCCTCTATCCTCCCCACACCCCGTCGCGATCATTTTTCTCCCGCCGCCCTCTCACCTTCTCACTCCCCGTGACACCCTCCCTGTCAGATATCCTTCGATGCGACGACGGGCGCCCCCCAGTGGACTCTCGTGAACAACGTGTCGCACGTCGCAATGCTGTCGCCTGTTGAGGATCAGGGCGCCTGCGGTGAGTGGTGCTGCGCGGCGTGCGGTGAAGCTGAGATGAGGTGACACAGTACGGTCGTGTAAGCAAAGCAAGCAGGAAAAAATTGCATAACGGCTCATGTCACTTCATAATCAAAGGGGGTTTCCCTTCACTCTGCCCCCGCTCCTTCTTTCCCCCTCCCATTCCTCCCACCCATCCCCCCGCGCCCCCCAACCCTCCCCCTCTCCCCTTCCCCCACCATTCCCAACCTCCACCAGCCGCGTGCTGGGCGTTCGCGGCGGCGGCAGCGGTGGAAGCGGCGGTGGCGATTTTCACCGCAACCACGCCCGCGCGCCTCTCACTCTCCGCGCAGCAGCTGCTGGACTGCGCGCCGGGCACGTGCATGGGCGGGTATCCGGAGGACGCGCTGCAGTACAGCTCCACCGCCTTGCTCCGCTGCGCCTCGCAGTACCCCTACGTCATGGACAAGGGCGCCTGCCGCGGAGGGCTCCAGGTGAGCGACGCGGCGTCATTTCTGAGAATCTGAGACGCCTCATGAAACCGTAGAGCACGCACAGCACGCCGAACCCTCCGCATTCCAACCGACCCACCACCGGCTCCTCTCACACGCCATTCATCTGCGCACCCTCCCCTCATCCCCCTCCGCACCCGTCTCGCAGCAAGCGGCATCGGCGGTGTCGCACTTCGAGCAGGTGGCGCTGGAGGGGTCGCTGGGGCTCATGCTGGCCGTGCGACAGCAGCCCGTCGTTGTCTCCATCCTCGCCTCCGCGCCCGACTTCGTCGCCTACAAGGTGCGCGTGGGGGCCGCGTGCGTCTGCATGTGCGTGTGGGTATGCGTGTGCTGTGCCTTGGGTGCCTGCAGGCCCTCATGCTGCCCTCATGCGGCCGTTCAGTTCAGTCACATGCAAAGGCGAGGAATGTCAAGATGGGCACATGCAGCAGTTGCTCTACGCGTCTAAGTGACCATATACGCGTTTAGCGTATATACGCGTGTCGTATATACGCTCGCGTTTATACGCTATACGCAGAGGTCCCGAGACCCTCGATACGCTATTTCGGGCAGGTTTTAAAAAAGTTCGGGCAGCTAAATTTTGACCCCCCTGATATACTTCTGGGGTCAGTTTCCACAGGGGTTGGATTTCCCAGATTTTTTTCCCGACTCAAACTTATTCACCACCAACATTACAATGACACATACTCATCTCATACTACTACCACACATACTACTACTCACGCTACTCCATCAATGACAACTGCAGAAGCCATTCTAAGGAGCTCTGAACAATGACGGGAGGATGAATTGACGAGAGAGAATTATACCTGCTTGTTAAGTAGCGTGGGATTTGTTGGTGGGAACAAAGTTGGATTGGAGGGAGGTTGTAGATCGAGAGCGGTTGAAATGGGTGGAACCCCAATGTGAAATGTCAAGGACATCGCGACTCCAAAGACTGGTGCCACGTAACCCAACTCACAATCCCGGCGCCGCGAATTGAAAGCACGGAAACAAACCCACCTCCACACATTGAAGGCACGTCCAGGCCAGGGTAGACCTCGGACGTGCATTTCGAGCACGGCATCTTCTTCGCCGTGAAAAGACGGAACTTTCTAGATATACTCGAAAATTTTCGATTTTGGGCAGCCCAAAAAAAAACCCCCGAGCGTATTGCGTATTCGTTAGCGTATAGCGTTTTGCGTGTATACGCAAGCGGATAAACGCTATACGCTTAAAGGCAAAAGCGTTTTTGGTCACCTAGCTACGCGTCCACTCAAGCTCCACAATCGCCTCCTTGCTGCTGCTGCGACCTCTGCTGCCGTCTCTGCTGCCGTCTCTGCTGCCGTGTCTGCTGCTGCCTCTGTTCTCTTCCCTCTCTCACCCATCCCTTTCCTCCCTCCTCCCTCCTGTTTCCCCTCCCATCCTCCCATCCATCCCACCCTCGCCCCGTCGCACCCATCCAGGCGGGCATATACAGCAACGCCACGTGCTTCTCCCCGGACAGCCCCGTGCTGGACCACGTGGTGCTCGTCGTCGGCTTCCGCTTCCTCTCCGCCGCCTCGCCCGACAACCACTTCATCATCCGCAACAGCTGGGGCAGCACGTGGGGCGAGAGCGGCCACATGCGCATCGCCATGACGTCCGCGTATGGTGGCATGTGCGGCATGACGTACCAGCGCGGGCTGTACCCCACCATTAAAGGTACGGTGGGACGGACAGACGGGAAGGCAGGAACACTGGATGGCAGAAGAGAGATAGATGGAATTGTGTGTATTTCCATGTCTGTGCTCATGGACTCATTCTTGCCGAAGCCATTCACTTTCGAGTTTCTCTTGTTCTCTGCCTGCTTGCTCCTTTCACTTCACCCACCTTCACCTCGTCTTCTCCTCCATGCCCATCAGTAGTAGTACCACCTGTAGCTTGTCCCTCCTTCTCTTCCCTTCATCATCCCTGCTCCTTTCCCCCATGCCCACCACAACCCCTCTCCTCCCCCTCCTCCATCTTCTCACTGCTCCTTCCGTAACCTCTGCTCTCCCTCACCCCCACTCTCCCCGCCCCTCCACTGCAGCGAGCCTGATTCAGGATCCGTGCAAGCTGGCGGTGTGTGGGGGTGGCACGTGCACGAGGACGGGGGTGGGCCGATACACGTGTGACTGCCCGAGCGCCAAGGGGCTGCTCAAGGGGGAGAATAAAGACGGCTCTGAGACCTGCATTATCAGTAAGAGGATGTGGCTTTTAAGATTACTTATTGTGATCTCACCTCCCTAGTGTGCTGTGTGATCCCTGCCTCTACTCAATCAAGGCCCACTCGTGCAAGGGAGAGGGCACCGTTTCAAGCACAGCACTCGGGTTGGTGAGACACGAGTGCTGCCACGCCATCCCGGTGACTCACCATCCCGCCCGCCCCTGCAACACAGGGCAAGTGCAGCTAACTTCCACCTTCCCCCAACCCCTCCTCTCCCTGTCAACGCAGAGAGCAAGTGCTCGCTGTTTGCGACCAACCCGTGTGGCGTGGGAGTGTGTGTGGACGGGAGCTCGGGAGAAATCTCCTGCGTGTGCCCGCCAGACTCCACCTCTAGCCAGCTCGCCTGCGGCCAGCCCACCTGTGTACCGGGTAAGGCCATTCCTGGATGGACGAATGGATGGAAGTATGTTCGTATGTCCCTCTCTGGGTTGCACGTTTGGGTGTAGCGGGTATGGTATGGATGTGCGACATGTATTGATGCATGCATGCATGCATGGATCTCTGAGTTGGCGGTTTTGGGTGTGGCTGGTTGGATTGGTGTGCAACAGTCAGGGAGTTGACCAGATTGACGGAGTGGAAGACAGGAGGCGCTGCTTCAGAGCGACAGCATACGAGCAACGTCTACTCACCCGCAAACCGATAACATGGGTCATCAATCTTTACCTTGTGTTGTCAGAATTTCTCTTATTGCTTCCACTCCCCTCTCCACACCACCTTATCCCCGATTCTCCCCACCTCCCTTCTCTCTCGCTCTCAAACTAGCATCCCCCTCCCACAATTTCCTTCCCTTCCACACTCGTCCCCCCTCTTCCCTTCCATAACGAGCAGGAGTGGTGGCCGGGCAGGCGGGAGGCGGGCAGGGTGGGGGCGGGCAGGAGTACGAGGCTCGGGAGGGCGACACGTGCAGTGCCATCTACGTGCTCTTCGGCCTCACAGAGGCGCAGTTCACCTCCCAGAACCCGGTCAGTGCTGTGCTGTGCTGTGCGGTGCGGTGCTGTGCTGTGCTGTGCTGTGCTGTGCTGTGCTGTGCTGTGCTGTGCTGTGGCCTGACTTTTGAGTTGACTCAAATGTCGCCTGGAAGGGTGTGCATGCCCATGCCCATGCTAACACATATGCGTCTGCCTATGCCTGTGCTCACTCCTTCGGCCATGCTCGTGCCGGTGGTGGTGCCAGGGCGTGGAGTGCAACCCTCTCAAGCCCGGCACTCGCCTGCGCCTCACTCCACCAGACACCAGCCGCACATGCACCACCCGATACCCCATCTCCAAGGTACTGCTCCCTGCACTGGACATGATTTCTGAGTCGACTAACAGATTGGGTTTTTTTCACCAGTGCTTCATTCCTACTGCATCCTTACCACCTCAACTCTTCACCTCTTCTCCCCTCCCCTCTCCTCCCCTTAATATCTCCCCCCCCACCCTCTCCTCTCCTCTCCTCCTTGACCTTCCACCTTCTCACCTTAATATTTCTCCTAATTCCCCAATTTCCTCCTCCCATCACGGTCCTATGCCCTGCTCTTAAGGCGGACAGCCTGACAGGAAGCTGTGATGACATCAACAACAGGTTCGGCACCCGAATCACGGACCTCAACCCAGGATTGGACTGCACGAACCTGCAACCAGGACAGCAGGTGCGGGAGGGTCATGATGGAGGGAGATGGTGAAGGAGGGGGATGGTGAGGAGGATAGATGGTGAGGAGGAGAGATGGTGAGGAGGAGAGATGGTGAGGGAGGGAGATGGCGGGGGAGGGAGATGGCGAGGGGGAGAGGTGGCAAGGGAGGGAGAGGAGGGACGAGACGGTAGTTGGGATGTGAAGGAAGCATAAGAGCACAACGCGAATGAGAGCACACCTGGACCGCTTGGTCAGCTCCCACTCTCTCCATCCCCTCATCTCTGGACCCTCCCTTCTGAATCCACCTCACTCCACCGTCCTTTCTCCACCCCCACCTTTCCCCACCCCTGACCGCAGCTGTGCATTGAGTGGAACAGTGTGACGGGCGGCAGCGGAGGAGGCGCAGGCGCGTACCAGCAGTGCACGCAGTACCACGCAGTGGGCCCCACCGACACCTGCGACAGCATCTTGCAGGCCAACCCCTCGCTCTCCTGGCGCTCGCTCTACCGCCTCAACCCCGGACTGCTCTGTGATAACCTCAACCCACTCCGTAACCAGGAGGTGCGGTGGACGGGGGAAGGAGGACGAGGGAAAGGGGGTGGGAGTGCGGGGGAGTTTGTGCTTTTCGTTTGATACGCCACATAAAATGGCCGTGGCACACTCAGGAACCAGGAGCGGTTGGAGGTGGGGGGGGTGTTTTGAGGAACAAGTTGCAGTTGTACTCTCAATTGTTCACTTCCATTTACACAAGCAGGTGCATGGAAGTTAGCCGCTAAAACTTCACGCTCGCTTTTCTGAATCCTGCTCCCCTTCCCCTCATGCCTGAGGCCATAAAGTGGCTTTGACACATCTCAAAGCTACCCCCCTCCTTTCCCTCCCCAACCTCCTTCCTCCCCTTCCCTCCTCCCTTCCTCTGTGCTCGTCTCCAGGTCTGTGTGAATGCAACTCCCCTGGGAGCTATTGTGTGCGATGCACGTCGGAGCCGCAAGTACACTGTGGAGGACGGGGACAGCTGCCCCACTCTTGTAGTGAAGCAGTTTAAAAGGAATCCCGGGCTCGTGCCCGAACTCAACAGGGGATGGATGTGCCGCACCCAGAACCTGTACCGAGGCAGGCCTTTGTGCATTCCAATTTAGCGGTCTGGGCAGTAGTGGTAGGTACTCTCTCCTTCTCCCTCTCTTCTCTCTCTCTCTCTCTCTCTCTCTCTCTCTCTCTCTCTCTCTCTCTCTCTCTCTCTCTCTCTCTCTCTCTCTCTCTCTCTCTCTTTCCCTCTCTCTCTTTCCCTCTCTTTCCCTTTGGCGCATCTTCTCGTTGTGCCCCCTTTTCCCTAGGAAGCTCCACGCAAATAATGGCAATAATTGCTGAAAAGGCATGTGAGCGGCTACCATAGCACGTACACCAGTCTCGTGTTAAGTGCAGCACAAAGAAACAGAAGGTGAATGACTCAAAGAATTGGTTTGCAGCACTCTACTACACCAAACGAACTTTGCAAGAAGCAGTACACACTCCAAAAGAGTGCGCAACAGGTTAACAGGTAGAACCAAATCTTGAGTGCAGCGTCGAGTGTGATTATGTCAAGTAGAGGCACGGCACTCACTCACAAGACAAGAAGCCCTCAATTGCTACCAACACTCCCTTCCATTATTTTATGCGTCTGGCTGAGCGCATCAACCAACCACTGATCATTTGACCCGAATTATCTGAAGGATTGTCTTAATAAAAAATACTCAAAATTTTGTTACATCGGCCAGAACTTACCTGTAGGTACTATCAAATTATACATTGCATATATTGTAGGCTAGGTTTGGTGTAAGGATTTACAAATCCTTATTGTAGCACTCGTTAGCGAGTACAGCCCCGAGGGCCACGCGACAATCCAGTTCGGCCTATTTCGTCGGCCAAACCACCCACGAGTTGCCTCCGCACCAAACGCAACAACCCTTCTAAGCCATCCTCATCCGACCTTCCCGCCTAGTTAGGATTCCCCCTACTAGTCTAGCTACTTTCATTGTATCGATTCTGACATCTCGTTATTCGTTATTCCGCCGCACTCTAAAAGTTCATTCATAACACATGGCATCAGAGCTACTTTCCTAGCCTACCCCGCTTTTTAGAGTGTAGTACCCCTCGAGGGGGGGGGGGGGGGGGGGGGACGAGGAAGGATGTCCTGGGGTCCAGGAGTTGTGCGTAGGTCGGCCAGGAGAACGAGTTAGTTGCTCCTCGCTGCCATAATTTTACGGGGCACTCCTTAGCATCGCCGGATCCTTGCCTTGAACGGTCGCGATCGACCGCAACCTCCCCCCCCCCTAGGCAATGGACAGCTGTAGCGGTCGCGACGTTAATGTGAGTAATTTCCGCTGCGTTTTCAGACGATTTCGGAAGGTTAATTCGTGTGGCCTCTGGCGTCACCGGACCTGCGTCGGCATCTGCACGAACAGCCTCGGCGTCGTCATCATGTGTGGCGACTGACGCCGTCGGACCTTGGTCAACGGCTGCGCGACAATTTCAGGGTTGTCCCATGCGGCAGTTGACGACGGTGTCTCGTCGTCATCCTGCGCACGAGACTCACGGAGTGTGTCTCGGCAGCTGGCGACAACGGACAGGCGTCGGTTTGGGCGACACTGCCGGAGCTAGTGTTGAGAAAAAGACAGCTGGAGGAACTCGCTAGGCGCAAATGGATTTTTTGCGTCCGAAAATGTCGGTGGCGAGGAGAGACGATACGAGGACTACCCGACTTACGCGAGAGTCAACTGCTGTCCCACCCTACCTGTTAAGTGCAGCGGCTTTTAATGCATGGCGGGCGCGTCATCGGAGATTTCGACAGAAGTGTACGTGGTCAGACAGGAACTTTGGACCTGCCGATACATACGGGCTCCAACAAACAGTGGAATGGCCAAATCGCACTTAGTGGAAGTGGGGTGCAAGTGCGAGGGCAACTCGAGCTTGAACACCTCGAAAATACTCGCTTGACATTGCGTGCCTGGCACTGTTGCCAGCTGTTCGACAGTTTTGAAAACGGTTTCTTCGTTCGGGAAGCAGTTTTCGGGGACGACTGCAACATTCCACGATTAAACGGCGTTCAGGGTACCACCCCGACTTTTACGGAGGAGTGTGGTACAGGCCGCCGGGACACACGGGAAGGAACTGCCCAACGGCTAAGCGGGGGTTGAAGAATGACGTGAGGGGCAGGTTAAAAGCCGGTGGAAACGATATGTTACCCTCCGTCGCCCCAACCTCACCATCCCCACCGAGTACTGGTTCCGACTCATGCAGTCGACCTGATTCGGCCGAATAATGAGGGTGAACACGTGCCTACCCTGTGCTGGTTAAAGGCACCTGGATTGGTGCTCGTTTGACAGCTGTACAGAAAAAGGGGAGTTCGCGGCACTGTTCTATTCCGACAAAAGCGGGGAGCACGCAAAAAAACCGGGGAGCTGCGACGACAGCAAGAGTGCGGATAGGCGTTTCTCCTGACCCGGGTGTCTATTCGAATGACGGCGCAGCGGCGATGCTGGTACCCGGATGCTGCGTTATAATGTGGTGTGATAGGCTACCCCGACTCCGATAGTTTTTGCGCCTTCACCGTAGCCGGATTACCGCGCGGGCAACATCGACAATACCTCATCAGACAAAAGTGGACGGTGGGTGAACGGCGAGAAGCGAAATTGTCGGGGGGTGAAAGAAAAAATGGAGATGGAGTTGATGGTGTTTCTTCGATCCTTGGAGTGCGGTTGAGCCATCGGGGGATTCGCCTGAAGGGTTGACTTTACGTAAACGAAGACGGACTGGCAAGAAACACAGCGGCAGGGATACCTAGGACCCACTGTTGTTTCAAAAAAAGGAGAGTGGGAGCACTCGAAGCTTCGGGAAGTACCTGCCGACGACGAGCGATGGGTGAAACATCTGCAAAGCGAGGTGGGAGATACATGGTATTTTGTTAAACAACATCGGCAAGAGCGGTTTCAACGACGGGGTCAACGGCGTTGATGCGCGCTAGGTTCCGTGAAATTTGGTCTTGGAATAACCCAAGGGAAGTCCCCGGTTCTCGATTGCACCCACATGATGGGGTCGGGTTAACTGACGGAAACTACTGGTGACCTGAAGATTTCGGAGGAGAACTGCACCTGCAACCGAGGAATTACAGGGGTGTTTTCGGCCCCGACAATTACAGAGTTTTACGAGAGGACTTACCAGTTCAAGGCGAGAAGCGCCAAAACATTCGTGGGAGTACGTCGACGTTTGGTTAAACTCGCGCAACAGAGCTGCGGGGCAACAACGCGAGATTTACACCGATTTTTGAGGGGTACGAGCAACATACGACGAACTGGAGGAAGCAACGGCAATAGTGAAGGGGGAGGGGGGGGGAGAGACAACTGTATTTTTTCGTCCCTGCCCGGTGAGACTCGACGAGTCTGGCCAAAACAACTGGAAGTACTGACGTAAGCCGACACCGATTCTGCGTTCGACAATATTTTCGAAGTGACATTCGATCCGGTTACTACTCTGACGACCATCGCCAGCTCTCGATAATTGATCTAGCCACCAATCTCCTTCACTCTCTTTCATCGTCAACTTTTCGTACCATCCCTGATTTCACGGCCAAAGGATTTCGGGTTGAGTCATTCCAACTCTGCTACCAACAAATCGCCCAGCTCGACTCGCCCACGACAACGACATTGATTTTGCCACGTCATGTGCTGCCAGCTGCAGCACCTGAAGTTTTATGGTGGTGTGTCTCAAAGTTACGCGTGCGGAATGGTGTGTGAGTAGAAATGTGTTGGGGTACAAATGCCTAACCCTAACAACTATACCCTACATAGCACAACTCACAACAGTCTACCATATTTTGACACACTCCCATAGACTAAGTGAGGGGTGCCAAGCGTCAGCAGCCACACAAGGTAACAAGACCAGTCCAAGAAACACAACAGCACAAAGCTCAGGGTGGATCACAAAGTTACCACACAGTCTGAGCACAAGCAAGAGGCCACAAGGCCAGTTCAAGAGTTCACATATATATATGATTGTCAAACATTACATATGTTTGTGTTCTCTAGGTTGTAGTGGGTTTAGCCTTAGGGGGTACAATCTCTAGGGTTTCATACTTGTACTCCCAACTTTCCTAATGCAATCACTTCACTGATTCTGACATGGTATTACGAGCCTAGGGTTAGGAACCTAGGACCGTCCTTAGGGCCCACCGTTTCCGCTCGAAGCGCCCTCGTGCGCCGTCCTTTCCTAGCGCCCTCGTGCGCCTCACTCCTAGTGCGCCCTCGAGCGCCTCCTCTCCTCTTACGCTGCCCGTGCGCAGCCACTAGCAACCCGCGCGCGCGGCCCGTTTTCCCGTCGCGTAGCCCGCTAGCCGCCCGTGCGCGGCCCGTTTTCTGAGCGCGCGGCCCCCTAGCTGCTCGCGCCGTCGTCGCCGCCCACGCGCAGCCCGCTAGCCGCCCGTCGACCGCCGCCGCGTCCCCTTAGGCCGCCGCCGCGAACCTAGTGCGGCCCGCTAGCCGCCCGTCGACCGCCGCCAGCACGAACGCAGCCGCGGCCCGCGCACAGCCGCA